GAGTGAAGAGGCATGCCTCAAATGATGTCAAACTGCGTAAAGACAACTACGTTCATTTCGATCCATTGCAAATGCAAAAGCAACATGCCTGCTATGAACTCGGGCCTGAATGCTTCCCACTTGCCCCGTAAAATTGTAGAAAAACTTCTGGAATTCATTTCTGAATGAAATAGCCAACAAAGAACTTATGCCTAATGCTCCTTACTAACGTGGCTTCATGCAATCGCTCCCAAATCCTTGTGCTATTTTTGTCTGGATCACTCACTTCTATTACAGCTCCATTCTATTTCCATTTTTGGGAAGTTGCTATTATTCACAGTTCTTCCTACCCTTACTGTTCTAGTTTCCATACTTTTGTGCCCAACAAGTAGGGCACAAATTCCTATTATAGATTTTTTTGCTAGTACAGTGGGATGGTCTAGAATATATAATGTGGCCAATATAGGATGTGATTACATTTGCTTCTGTTGTTCTGCTCCTCCAGATTAAATTTTTGTTACTTTCAAGACTCATCCTCATTTTATATCAATGTCCATTATTCAGAAGGTGACTCTTAAGCCATTTAGTCAGTATTGTCAGCCCAGTGATTAAATTTTTAAATAGAGTCCTTAATTTTTTCCTAACATCATATTCGTACTCCTGGAAGTGAGTTCCCTAAATGTCTGTTTACACTTCACTGTTGTTCTTCAAATGTTCCTTAGACCTTCTTCTACTACTAAAAATCTCAGTGAGAATGGAAAAGAGTTTTGTAAGGCAGCAAGCATGATGAAGGTAGAGCCTATTTTACCAAATAGTATCTTCCTCATTGTTCCCTAGAATCCCCTCCCCATCCTTATCCCGTTTTTTTCTTTGTAAAAAAGGTCTCTCAAGAGTCGAAAATATAAATATTTAGCTATTTTTCTGTTTTGCATTTGCAAACCTTGTAATACATTGATATTGTAAAATAAATAGCAGACAATACTGTGTGCAGAAAATTCCAAGCAAATTGCACTCCATTTTTGCACACATTTAAACATATGTATACATAAGAGTATATAGGTACATGCATAGTGAGTAGCAGCACTGACAGCTAAGGTTACCTATCTATCCCGTATGTCTCTATTTTCAATAGTTTACAGCTGTGTCAAACCCTAGGAGATCCAGATGAAAAATCTGTGCTGGGCATCTGTCCATGCTGTGTGTTTTTGTAAAACTTCAAGCAAACGCAGGTCAGCTGGTTATGAATGAGGTGAGCAGGAAAAAAGTTCACTAACGTGACACTGCATAATGCTGAACTTTGTACTCCATCTATCCACATTCAAGAGCTCTATTTAGTGACATGGAAAGGAATGCAGTGCCTAATGCCTTTGAGGATGTGGGTAAAAATGCCTCTGCTTCTCAGGCTGTGTGGTATCTGCCTCACAGGTAAGATGAATAGCACAAAAGGAGCATGTTAAGTGTCAATCTACCCAACTGGAAGGAGGTAAAGCGAAAAAAAAAAAAAAAGTCCCCAACCCTGAAGAAGGTATAAGTGCATCCCTGACAACAGAAAGTTTAGGTTTAGTGTGGGTAACTTCTTGCAAAAAAATAGTGCGAAGCACAGTATTGTGGCTACAATCTACGTCTCTAATACCAGACATCTCAAAGTCCTCCCTCCCTCATGCTCTGGTATTCTTCACTCTGTAAGCCCTGCTTCCCACAGAGAGGCTATCTGTGTTAGTGGGCCAGAGAAAGTATGCGATGTACTCCAATTTGTGTCTCAGTTTGGACATTTAGGAGAACAGTAACTTGAGGTGCACCATGGGTTAGCCGGTTTCATCACAGAGCCACAAAGAGCTCCTTGAACCGTGTAACTGAAGAAACAAAATCTGCTTGCCAGCTCCATGCAAGACAGCAGAGCCAGATACAGGAAGTTCAGATTTGTGACCACTGTTCTTCTCTGCTCACATTTTGCTTCAGCATCAGCCCACCTGCCTCTATATTCTTCTTCATACTTAATGCCACCTTGTTATCCTTCTCCCAGAATGGTATCTTCCTTAATTCACCTCTATCTTCTTCGGGAGTTATGTTCCAACAAAGTAACCTCATGTTTCAAAGAAGCTAAGTGGCAAACACTTCCTGGCATTAACAAGAGACCATTAACACAGTTCATTCCCTCCTGCATGTCCAAGGTCCTAGCATGTATCATGTTCTTAAGCACAGGATTTGTGTCTGTAAAAAAAGCTGTTATGAAGGGGCTATGATTGCAATTGAGTTCTTTATCTCCAAATAATCTTTCTCCAAAAACCATACGATAGCAGTACACATTTTATAAAGTATCAGTAGAGAACTGGTCAAGTGAGTATGGCAAAAGTAGGTTGAATAATAATAATGGAAGTGACATGCAGAAAAAATAGGGCAATAAGCACAGTTACCAGTAGTCACAGTTCAGAAAAGTCTGCACAAGTGCAATTATTTTAGCTTGAGCTTTCCATGACTATGATAGCAAGAACTCATTGATCCACTTTCATCCTAAAGGTTAAGTATTATGGCACATGTAAGTAATAATGGCACAAAATTATGTGTATAAAAAGGAGGTAAAAAGGATAACATTGTTAAACAATAACATAAGAAAGCGTTCTAGTTTTATAAATCTAATTATGCAAGACCCTATGCAGAAATGTATCCCAGTAAGCAGAGCTTGTTGGTGAAACTTTATCCAAATAGTTAATTCTGTCAAACTTAAAATGCTTAGAATAAAAAAAGAATTGCAGACAATTTAAAAATGCTCCAAAGTATTTGATTTTGAATTTTTCATATTGTGTTACATAACGCAAAGTCAACATCAAAACTGTATGTTTCCATTCTGCTGAAACAAAATACTTCAAATGACCAAAAAGCCTTTCTTTCATCTCCTTTAGAGAGATTCTTCTTTTAATGCTTCATTTTCTCCAGAACTCTGAACTACATCATGTTTCAAAACACCATAACAAACTGGATTTTGTATATCTTTTGCACAGCTCTTGTAATAGACGGAAGCCTTCATATTTCACACGCTCTTCAGAGTGCCTCTTAGATCTATCTGAAAAGCGCTGCAGACAAATGATGTTTTAAGATAAAAGAAATGTATCAGAGGTTAATAATTAAAAATTATACACTACCTTAATTTTATCTTTATGCAATGCTCTACTAGTCTCAAAGAATTTCCTGGGTTTTACAAGGATAAGCTCACTTAAAAGGTAAGAAATGTAGCCCTTTAAGAACCACAGTTACTCAAGTCCCAAGATTTTTGATGAAACCTTTAGAAATTTTGTTGCACAACAAACTGATGAAGAAAAAATCTAAATGTTTAAGGAATTGAATTATGAAATTAAGACATTTAGCTTCTCATTGAACTTGCACGAGTTAATAAAATTATTGCAGCAAAAGCTGCACTGAAACAATGCACCGAGTCAGTCCAATAACTAGCCTGACACACTAAGTTTCACACATGCAAAATAATCATCAAATCTGTGACATTCTGCATTTGTGCTATCTTCTTTTCAAACAATGAGGATAAAAATGAACAGCCACCTCAATCTGTCCAACTGGATCAGTGAACAGTCAAGAGTTTGGACACAGCTGTACACACAAACACACAGAATCACTGAATCAAAGAAAAGTACACGTTGGAAGGGACCTTTGGAGACCACACGATGCAACCTTCTGTTAAGAGCAGGGCATTAGACCAAGTTATCCAGGGCCTTGTCAAGCCAAGTCCTAAATATTTCCAGCAAGAGAGATTCCACCTCTTTTCTGTGAAGCCTACTCCAATTCTTCTCACTGTGAGAAGTTTCTTCCTTATATTCAGACAGAATTTCCCCTGAAGCAACTTGTGTCCATTTCCTTTTTTTCCCCACCACTGTGCATGCTGGAGGAGAGGGAACTTCCATTTTCTCTATAACTACACTTGCACTACTGGAAGACTGTGACTAGATTCCTCCAAACCTTCCCTTCCCAAATTCCTTCAACCTTTCTTCATACATCAAGTCCTTCAACCACCTAATAACCTTGGTGGCCCTCCGCTGGACTGTCTCTAGTTTTTAAATGAAGTGAAAATTTTAGCCATTCATCTCTAACACTCATGAAAAAGAAAGCACCCGTTCTGCATATGGGCTGCTGGAAAGTACCAGACTGCACAACAGACTGAGGTTGGGTTGAGTAAGTCACCTTAACTTTGCATTATGCCTGTAATGTGTAAATGCTTTTACTTTCTTCAATACACTTTTGAAGCAATAAGCAAACATTATACCTATACAACTCAGACTGTTTAATTACCTATTTGTAAAAGTCAGTGGAAAAATATTCTTGAAATTAAGCTCTTTATACCAGTATTTATTTTGCACTCATCTTTAAAACTTGGTAAAGTTCTTGGCAAAGCCTTTGATGATTACAAGATAAAGAAACACAGTGTTAGAAGTGTCGCTGTCAAGACATTTTTGGACACCAATAGTGAATGTGGAAAATAAGTTGCAATGCAGTTTCATGAAGAATTTCAAGGAATATCACACTCCTTTAGTTCTGCAGATTTTAATACGAAACTAGTGAAGTACTGCCAATTTACCTTTAATTTCATTTGAAAGGAGCAGCTTATTTTCTGTTTCCTCTTCTTCACACTCTTTGTTCTTTATGGAGTCCTTCGTTTGTAGTACTCCGCTGAGGAAAATAAGATGTTCAGTTTTTATTAATACATCATAAAAATCACTAAGCATGATGACATCGCTTGCCAACAATGCTATTAACACACCAGGATTCCCACAAAAAAGATGTTGTATCATCATAAAATAAAAAAAGAGAGGATCTAATTTCTGACTTACACAGATGGCATGACTACTGACATGAATTTTGCAATGAAGGCAATGAGTAGTCTAAGATTACATAAACCGTATCAACACACTTGACTTCATAACCGAAACTGGAAAATATATAAATGAAGCCAGGGACGTGTCTACAGCAGAAGATGGGAAGAGTAAAGAACACATATATAGCTGCATCTCCTACAAAGCCTTACTTGTTATCCAGGCCATTTTCAGGAGCTGTCTAAAACATTTACTCCTTTTTCTCTGCTCAAACTTCATCTCCACCCCACCCCAGCTCCTGTACTATACTGACACACTGTTGTGCAGCTGTCAATGATCCCACTGAAAAGATCTGTGTTCTTTTGTTACTGTTTTTGCATTACTTCCTCTCCAGCTAAGAGAGCCGCTCTTTCCCTGCTGACTGTGGCTGCTCCCTCAGCTCTGCCAGCCCAAACATTTGCAAAGAGGGACGCCTTACCCCTATCAAGAAAAATGGGGCAAGAGAGGTGGAGTAAGAGAACTTCTCAAAGGGGGATGGGTGTATGGGCATCTTAAAGTCAGCCCTGGGAAGTTCCTTTTCAAACTCTGCCTTCACAAGGTATTTCCAGCCTAGTTTCTAACAGAAATGATACTTATATGAACTTGCTGACATTGTGCATGTATTTATTTCCTTCTGCTTTTAAGAACTTGAGAACACTTCAGCCAATTCTTACTAAACCTTCACAGATGCAAAGCTCTCAGAGATAGTAAGTATATAATGAACATTTTCTAAAAACAGGCACCAGACAGAATGATCTTAAAGTCAAGACTACAAAAAAGTCCACTACATGAACTCGTACTTTACTATCTACCAGAGAAGCAAACAAGAACCCCTGTACAAATATCCCAAACACAGATAAAAAGCCCAACTAGAGCTACCACCTTGTTAGACATGAAGATTAGCTAACCTCAAAACACAAAGCCACAGAGAAACAGACCAGTTTAGTTCAATTGTTTACACTTATACTATTAAATACAATTATATATTTAATACTATTTATACTATTAAATACATGTAAGAATTTGGGAATAAATCATCCAGGAGCTGCAAGTTCACCAACATCAACAGAAATATATTTTACACACTATTAATAGTTCAAAATGAATACAACAAATTGGAAAATCCAACCTTTGTAGTACAGGAGGACACAGATAATAACGGTATGACAAGTAGTGTCAGTGGAATGCATACAGCAGGCATGCCTTCTTGTGCCACAAAGGACTTTTCCACCGTATCTTCCTCAGAAATACCACCTGCATTTATTTACTTAAAAATTATTTTCCTAACCTCCACAAACACAGAAAACTTCTAAAGTAAGATGCTATAAAGGAGTGCAATTAATTACAAAGCCAAAGTAAATTATTATTGTAATTCAACATAAGGGAGATCACCAAAACCTGTGAGGAAACACGTATCTTCCTATTTTCTTGAGGACAATTTTCATAGCAACATACAGCCAGAAATTTTGTTTCACTAGTTAAATACAAGTTAGTACTATGAATTGAAGGTTTTGGGGAAAGGGTTGGAAGACAAATTGAATTTTCTTTTAAGAGGTAGTACCATTTGATTCCCAAGTCTGACTGTTCACCTTCCTTAACTGTAAATATTTCCAGAATGGAATTCCTATTACAGTGAAATTCTTCTGCTACTCTGAAGATAGTATAAAGATACCTTCAAATTAAAATTGAATATGCTGTAGGCATGTAAATTTTATGTTGAATTTTCACCTCAGGAACATTCCAGAGGGACTGACTGCAGTTTTTACACACATTTTTGCAACCCAAAATCTTCTAGTATACCTGTTAGTATGCACAGATACTTCTTACTAGTCCAAAAAAAAAAAAAAAAAAAAGAGTAATTGGAACTGGAATTTAGCCAAGTACCACTTAGATTTAACACAACAAAATAAATCTCATGTTTAGCTTCATATGTGGTTGGTTCCTCAATCAAGGACTTCTATGAAACAAAATATTACCCAGAATATGAAGGTATACAGAACGGTACTGAAGTCAAAGATAATTAAATCCACACCATAAGCTCTGCAGCTAAAGAGCACACAAGTATACACATCTGTGTCTTCAATTATGCATGTGTACTTTGAATACACTTCTAAAAAGATCCACTGGGTATTGCAATAACCAGATGCTCAATATTTTATAACTCTAGCAGTTCACATATACCTAATGTTGTGAACACTATTTTTTGTGCCTTTTTCAACAGAAGTTTATTCAACTAAAAGTCTTCTCTGGCTATGCTGGATACATAGGGAATGCAGAAAGCTAGATGGTAAAATGCAGATAGTCATCAGTGTATTCAAGGAGTTCAAATACAAACTGCAAAGCTTCTGGGTAGTTCAAAGCTGGCATGAGCCTGTTATTCTCTGAAGGAAAATGACTCAATATGGTGAACAGATAGCACATGTATTGGTTATTTTAGGTCTTCATAAAGATAGTATTTGTACATATACAATAAGATATTTGTACACAAAGGTAGGGAAGAAGGATCTCAACTTCCAATAATTTCTCTTTCTTGTAGTATTTTTCCTCTCCTCTCTGATATGCATTTCTTATTTCCTAAAGACGTTGTGACACGCCCCTATTTCTAATAGAAAGACAGTTGAAGAACTTCCATCTCCCTCCCCACTGCTTCCAAGAGTTCCATGAACAAATCACCGTACTGCATTGCCTGGTAAGCTGCATTTTAAACTGACCATCTCCAGACAACTCATACATTGAAAGGAACTGATAGTTACCCAGGTGCCTTCTTTTCTTTCACATCACATAACAGGGGCTTCTTGCAAGGAGATTTACTTTCTGCATCTTCCTCCTTAGTTGTTTCTGATACAGTTTTCCCAGATGATCGACTGTGAGCTGAAGATTTCATACCTATGTGACCAGGGCTGGGGCATTTTCTGTCACTGTTTAAAACAAATTAACAAAATGTTTAAAACTGAGAGCAGCTGAATTGTTATTCAACTTATTTGCTCTATGGGTAAAGAGTCATTAGTGTAATTGAAGAAACACAAGGGTTTCATTTGTTTTAAGAAACAAAAGAATTTGCCACCAACAAAATTGTAAACCTGGGATTTTCAGAGCTCTCTTCCCCATGAAATCAAAGGTAAAACATTCAGGCAATTCAACAGGAATAGAATTTGCCTAACATTATTTTTGATAACAAGCTATCCACTTCAAACATTTGCAACACCAGAAAACTGTGAAGTATCATTTTCCTCCTATCCCTTCTCTCCCTTCCATGATATGCCACTATCCAGTCGGGACCTGTTCAAAATGTTATGCAGTCTCTTAATTGGGACAATGAAAAAAGTAGCACTTGACACTGTCCCTGCCACAGAGAACACTGCTCAAACTGTTACTGGCTTCACCGGGACGCTACCTGGGCTACCTGTCAGAGGGTAATTAAGTCACTTCAGATTTCTACAACCCTACACTTACAAGAACAATCGAACCAGGCAGTGCTCTTTGACAGCTCAAGATTTTGGGTTTTAAAGCATGAAGCTGAAACTGTCCCCAAGAATGTCATTTAAAATACCATCTATTGAAAATATGTGGTCATTAGAGTGGGAACTGGAAATCTTCTCTACAAACATTCGTATTTTCACATTTACATTAATGTAGCCCTTGAAAAGAATGGAAAGTCTCTCTTTTCCTTTCGTCCTTGAATTCTCTATGTATCCTCACAGCCCAAAATAAGCACAGGAGTTGGTGTCCACAATTCCTGTCCACAATTCTGACTGTCACACCCCTTTGCTTTTGTGCAGTGCTCCTGCTAGAAGCATCAGCTACAGACTTTAGAATCGTTCCTGCAACACTCACTCCCAGTAATTTGATTCCCCACTCCCACAATAACAACAGAATTTGTAGTGGCTATTCTTGAAAAAGCAACATTAATTTACAGTCACGTCAATAAAGCCACCCCAGCAAACGAAAGAAACACAAACAAATTATTTTCTTAAGTTAAGCCAACTGGCAAACAATCCATTTTAAATTCCAATTAACCACTTAGTAGTCTAGATAGTTACACTGAAGACAAAACCAAACTCTCATTAAATCATACATAGTAAAATCAGTATCAGTCTTTGACAGCTCGGTGACCTTTTCGATAAGCACCGATGAAACCATTTCTTCCCTGTAAATGAAAATGTAGATTAATAGGCAAGCCCTTCTGAAATCATTCAGCCATTATACAACTACAAATTATGTTGCAGAACACTAAAATAAAGTACTGCTGTTAGTCACGGACGTCGCTTCTATTGTAATTACTTGATTACAGGAGAGGTGGATCTTTCACTCGATTCCACTTTTCTGTTCCTGGGGACAGGACTGGCTGCAGGCATCTCCCCGCTCAACCGGTCAGGTAAGAGGCTTTCTTTGTTCAAGTTCATCTCTGAATACGGGCAGCTGACCGCACTACAAGTTGAAGAAAAAAAACCCCTCTTTATTCTCAGACATTATTGACCTTACTCAACTCAAATGAAATGACATCAGAGGCCAGTTTTCTAGAAGCAGATGCAATCAATTAATATAAAGAAGATTAGAAAAAAATGGAATAAGTAGACATACTTTAAAATGTTAATAAATCCACTGATTAAAAACCACAACCTGAATGTTTTTTCCATTTCCTTTTGACAGCAACTTATGTAACATGAATTGTATTAATTTATATTAAAGCATGCATTCTTGAAAATTGCTTGCTGACTGCTTGCTTTCTCATGCCTTTAACAGCATTTTATACATAATACACAGGATGCCTTTGACTACCCACCTCTCTCCAAACAAAGTCATATTCCCATGGTTATTTTTCTTGCAAAGGAGGGTATTTCTATTATGTAATGTCCACACAGCACACAGAAGCTGCATTGCAAGGGATGCAGAGTATGAGGAATGGCACACATCCTCTTACTGCAGCAAATGCCCCATCTTCACAAATGTCATTTTGTGATACAGTCTTGTGAGGTAGTCTTTCCTATCATTCAACATCCTCTATTCACTACACTCCAAGTAGAGAGAGAGGGAATTGGACACTGTGCTTTGATAATGACTTCTAAATATGACTCTAAAAAATGTGAAAGTCCTATCTCCCACAAGATAGAGGAAAGGGAAGAACAGCAACACAGTACACACTGGGCTCTTGTTTCACTGATTGTTACATGCATGATTTCCAAACAGAACTGTCTAATATAAACAAGTCTACCTTACCAGCCACATGCCCTGCCACCTCCAAATTACAAACACTAAATAGAAAACCAACAGATTTTATTATCATGTTTGTTTTACAAAGCACAGAATAAAAAAAAAAAAAAAAAAGGCCTCTTAGTCAAAATATGCCATACATTCTCCTTTTCCTTTACTGATGAGGCTCTGGATTCACAATGTGTGTGAATCAACTCCTAGCATGAGATTGGACCAATATTAGTAATCTAATTTTGGTCTTACCAACATAAACAAAAAGTCGGTGGAAATTTACATTTCTCTCAGCATTAGCATAAAAGGAGAAAATTCCTTAAGGCTACACAGGCCAAGTCACTCGGTCCTTGCTGGGGTTATTGACACAGAAGTCCAATGACACATCTGATTTTGGCAGTTGGTTCATTTGAAAACAAGGCAGTATCAACATTTCTTTTTCATCCTTGTATAGCTGTGCTGATCTGAATTACGGAGGAAAAATATGCCAGCAGAATGTGAGTTCTGCTTTTCTAATCAAAATGAGACCCTCGTTTAAGGCCATTCCAAGCAGTTGGTGTTCCACAACAGCCTGTACGGTGTTCTCAAGGGACATACAGCCATCCATCCCCAGATGATCTACACGGGACAGTTATCTTTCCCTTCTTCTGAGGAACTGGGTGGTAATCCCAGCACCTCCTCTGACATACAAGCACTGAAGTTTTTTGCCATAAGAACCTTCATACCAGAACTTTACATAGCAGAGTAAGATACAGCCAAATGGGTGGCTGGACTCTGAAGTGCTACACTTGAAATAGGGTATTTTTTTTTGTTAATGAAAATGTTTTAAAAGACATGGAACAGAATATACAAAGAAAAACTTATCTTGGAGCATATAAGTTTTATTTCTAATTTCTCTTAAGCAGCATCTGGCATTTTATTTTTGATTTATTTATATACCTCTACTTACATTTATTTTTCAACCTACTGGTTTTGTCATTCTTAGGACTAGTCTCTGCCAGATGTTTCAAAAGAACAACAAAACATGAACTGAAAAGATGGGGAAGAAAAGAGGAATGCTAGGAAGGAGGGGAAGTTGTTTCATATTCTCAATTCTTTATATTGCTGCATCTATCACAATGATGCCTTTTTTCCCTTTCAAATGAACTACAAGATGAAAGATACAGGCTTCTATTCAGAAAAAGGTTTTAAGGAGCCAATGCTAGTGGGATTTAAGTTCTTGCTGTGACAAACTCATACCACTGTGATGAAATACAGTTATCAAAAACGCAGGAATCTTTTGGTTAATCTCAGTTCTGCCACTGCTGTAAGGCAAAGCATGTAATCTTCTTTTGGCTTTCTATGCTCACAGAGGCATTCTGAGGTTTAGTATTTTTAAGCGGTTAGAAGGCTCTCTCAAGGAAACACTAAACACTACCAATGTGGTATTTAACTTCAGTTGTGTATTATTAAACAAGCCTTATACCACAATGAAATCTGACAATACAATTTCATCTCCATCAGGTCTTCTGCTTACCAGCATCATTGATACTTTTAAGTTAAAAAAAATCAAGAAAAAGCTTCAAAATTCAGTCCTTCATTAGAACTTGCCTGTTTATATACTGCCTTTCCTTTAGTATTTTCTGGAAAAACAGAAGTTGAGTGACAATTTCAGTCAACAATAGTTGTAATAGTAACAAGGCTTTAGAACACTAGATTCAGATGAGGTTTTCTTTTTAATTAATCATTTGAGTTGCTGTATCATTTTTTAAAAACTCCTTGATAGTCCTTTGATGTTAGTATTACTTGGAGCAACAAAGAGAACCCTCATGGTTTCTTACTGTTGGCTTTGTTTCAACAAAACACGGCATGAATGAACCTGTGTATGAGTTACAATGGCTTCGGATCAATTAGCAAGTCCTCCTGAACCTCAGCGCCTCCAGACTTCAGTTCAGTTTAACTTGTCTACTACAAAGAATAAAAAATTAATCTTGTTATTTGTACACAATAGAAGTACTTGATTTATACAGGACTGTAAGTTTTACAGACAACTCATCTTAAGGATTCAGAAGTCTTGATGTTTAAGTTAAGGTCGGGGGCTGACCTCCTGGAGAGCAGCTCTGTGGAGAGGGACCTGGGAGTCCTGGTGGACAACAGGATGACCATGAGCCAGCAATGTGCCCTGGAGGCCAAGAAGGCCAATGGCATCCTGGGGTGCATCAAGAAGAGTGTGGCCAGCAGGTCGAGGGAGGTCATCCTCCCCCTCTACTCTGCCCTGGTGAGACCGCATCTGGAGTATTGTGTCCAGTTCTGGGCTCCCCAGTTCAAGAAAGACAGGGAACTGCTCGAGAGGGTCCAGCAAAGGGCAACAAAGATGATTAGGGGACTGGAGCACCTTTCTTATGAGGAAAGGCTGAGGGACTTGGGTCTCTTTAGTCTAGAGAAAAGAAGATTGAGGGGGGATCTTATTAATACTTACAAATACTTAAAGGGAGGATGCCAGGGGGATGGGAGCAGTCTTTTTTCAGTGGCGCCCAGTGATAGGACGAGGGGTAATGGGCATAAACTTGAACATAGGAAGTTCCATCTTAACATGAGAAGGAACTTCTTTACTTTGAGGGTAGTGGAGCACTGGAACAGGCTGCCCAGAGAGGTGGTGGAGTCTCCCACTCTGGAGACATTCAAAACCCGCCTGGACACTGTCCTGTGCAACGTGCTGTAGGTGACCCTGCTCTGGCAGGGGGGTTGGACTAGATGATCTCCAGAGGTCCCTTCCAACCCTAACCATTCTGTGAATTCTGTGAATTCTGTGGATTAAATTAGGATTTTTAACTCTTCTATCAACTTAAACCTGGACTTCTGCTTCAGCTTGCAGTTTGCCTTAGCACGCTATTTTGAAAACAGCAGAAGTTCAGAAGCCAGTTTCCAAAATGATCAGATGTCCTTGACTTGGGGGTACCAAGGTCTACCAGAGGCACAGTGAGCATGGTAAGAAGCGGAAGTAGCAGCAGGTACCCAGTTTGAAACCTCTACTATACATCTGATAGGGCTCTACACCCTCCAGCACTGCTTCACAGCTTTGAAACCAGTCAAATACAAAGACACTTAATTATCATCTGGGCTGCTTCAGTAGGCTCAACCCATGTTTCAGTAA